CTCTGTGCTTGGAACCCGAACATCTATCGTCCACTATCTTCCTGGAACCACTCTCCTCGCCCTTTGTTGGCGTGAGTTCTTTCAGCTTCTGCTATCTTACTGTAGCATTTCTCCTGAACTAATCGCATATCCGCAAATCGCAAATTCGTGAAAGGAAATTCAAAGTAAGTCACAGTTTGACAAATTATTCTTAAGATTGACAAGATCTACCTGTAACTATTTGTTAATGACAAAAAACATCATTGCCGCTGTGCCCTTTTATCAAAAAATTGTAGAAGAGACCTTTTTTTATATAAAAAATTTTCGTAATTTGAAGCAAAGATCAGCAAGTAATTTTTCTTTTTGAATGCTTAAGTATTCCAATAAGCTTCCAATTAAACATGGAACCATTTCAAAATAATGCTTAATAACAAAGTTGAAATTCGATCTTCAACTGTCAATATATTCTAGAAATTTTCGAAAAAAAAATTTTCTATATTTTTCTCGCATTCCGCAAGGGAGCCTCTATCACCCCTTAAAAGGAATGACGCCAATTTTGAATCACCCCGTATTTTCTGGTTCAAATAATCGGGTTAGTAAATAAAATTCATTATAACCCAAAACCCATCTAAATTCTCTGTTTAATATTTTCTTAAGAAATGAAATTATTGTCTTTAAAGCTAATTTAAAGATGTTGACTCTTAGTTAAATATATTATAGAAGTAATTTATTTCGCAATTAAATTAACACTCATGCATTCATGAAATGCAAGCAATAACCTGATGTCTTTATTAGATGTATATAATATCGGTTATTCTAATAGAAAATCTCAGGCCATTTTCAAGGTTCATACCAAATTGAAGCGTGAAATTATCACAAAATGTTCATTTGCCCACCAAAATTTGCAAATCGGCCCATCGATTGTTCATGTAATGGCAATTTAGTGCCCCACTTGCAAGAGACAGTTTGTGGTTTTTTTGTCTAAAATAAAAAATAAATCTGTATGCTTTTATAGCATTCGTTTGAAATAAATTTTAATTATTCACTGGTACATTTCGTAATCTTTCGTAGCTGTAATTCCACGAACTCCAGAATGCGGAATTTTTCGAATTCTTATAATAGGGCCTTTGCAGACTTTTTTCTTTGCTTGTTCTGCTCATTTATGGTCAAGTGACCGTTCCACAATTTTATTTTTGTTTTAATTTTCGTACAAGGAAGTTATAAGCAATTTAAATTTGAATTTCCATTTAGCGCGCCAAAACTGGGCGCCAGCACTTGCTGGGCGGCTGACGTCACTAGGCACGACTTCGATATTGCGTTTGCATTTAGATCACGTTGTGCCGGCGTTTACTTTTTTCTTCAAGCCAACTTTAAAAGGTGCTTAGTGTGGTTTAGTTGGTGATTTGAAGAAAATTACTTACAAATATTGTCTGGGGCCTGAGTGTAGCAGTACTACGGTGTCTACCCTAAAAAAAAAAAACATTTATAAAAGTGCCTTTGAACGAAAAACGTTGAAAACTGTGGCTTTAAATGGCGCAAATAAAAGCTGCATTTATGTTTGTGGATATCATTTTACAGTAAGTTTTATTACATATTTTCGTAGCTTTCTTATGTATACCTATAATTTTAAGCTTGAAAATGACATGGAAAATTATGTGGAATGGAAAATGATCGGGGCTCGAAAAATAATGAAGCCAGATGCAGTTCCCCGCAAATTTGCCTGCCAAACAGATAGAAAACGAACTTTGGATCTGCCTGTACGTAGTGCAGTTTTCAAACGTAAAAGACTTGAAATTTTTGCGAATGTTTTACACAAACATAAAGTACCTAACACTTCAAATAAGGGCTCGTATGTGAAGAAGAAACTTCAGCTGGAATTGAACCAGAAGGGCATGCTAGTTTCTGTAAATGAGGACGTATCGATGTAGCAGTACAAGTAAATTTGAGATCTACGTATTATACGTAACATCTATGAAAGAAGAAACAATAAACCGTGGTTTACAGAAGAAGTTAAACAGCTGGCAAACGAGAAGCAAAAAGCCTACATTAGATTCAGAAATTCGAAATCCCCAGATGAGTACGAGGAATACAGATAGATACAGTAAGAAATAAAGTTAGTCAAGAAATCAAAGAACTGAAGGAAAAATACTGGAAGAACTTGTCAACGGATATGCATGGTTGACCTAAAGCAAGCATTCGATAGAGTAACGCTAACAGACATCGAAAATATTCTACACCTCCATGGCCTAGATAACAGATGTCCTCATAATAAGAGATCTGAATACGAACGTCAAAACGCGAATCAAAGTTAACTAGAAACTAACACAAGAAGTACATTTAAATACAGGAATACGGCAGGGTGACAGTTTAAGCCCCACACTTTTCAATATGATAATGAGCAAGATTATCGAAGATGTTAAACGAGAGGGAGTAGAATACGGAATAGCCCACAAATCTTTAAAGATATTGTGTTGTGCAGATGATGCCGCATTAACATCAGAAAGTGAAGATGACCTGCATCGGTTACTATTTAGATTTAAACGAATGGCAGAACGATATAATTTGACTATCTCCATAGAGAAAACACAATCCATCGTCATATCTAAAGAACCCATCCCTTGTAAGTTGGCTGTCGATGAGAAGACAATAGAGCAAGTGATGAGGTTTGCAAGTAGCAGCAGGAATCTGATCGAGGAAACGAGGGCAAATACAATCAAGGCATCGAGAATCTCAGGAAGCTTGCGAGACGTCATCTGGACCAATAAATTCATGTCAACTGAGAGTAAAGTGATAATCTACAAGACTTGTGTCAGACCAATTCTTACGTATGCATCGAAAATTCGAGCGGAAACATCTAGAACGAAACAACTAATGAGGTGCGCTGAAATGAAAACGCTAAGAACAGTCAAAGGAGTAACACTAAGGGATCAAATACGAAGCAGTACCATAAGAGAATAATTACAGGGAGACGATGTAGTTAGATGGGTGAGATCAAGAAGACGGCAATGGAGAGATGACGTAGATGGAATGGAACAGGATAGAATTGCAAAATGGGCTAAAGACCACATACCACAAAGTAGAAGACCCCCAGGCCGGTCACCTAAGAGGTGGTATGAAAGTTGGAGATCAGGATCAACTGAGGCAAGACAGCAGAAATAACAGGACAAGTCCTATATTAAGAGGAATAAGAAGTATAGAAGTAAGGCATCACAATGCAACAGCCGGGCAAATACGTTGTCCCAAGGTTGCTCACCTATCAAATTTGCTTCTGAAAGTATTGCTTCATCCCCAATAAAAACACTTGCAAATCCAAAATATAGATACGCATTACCAGAGTCGAGTTTGTCAAGCTCAACTATGAGATGAATGAAGAAGTTCGATATCGTTCAACTTTATCTAGTACAGAAGATTATGAGCTTGGCGTTGAGGTAAATGAAGAACATCGAAAGTCTATAGCGAAACATACTTTTATGAAAAGGCAAAATAATTCAAGATTATATCTGGGCGTAATGACATAAAATCTATTTATAGTTGAACTAATAAAACAATTTACTCATTTAGACACCACACGTATATGTTTAGTCTTAAAAATACGCTTTGATAAAAGTTTTGCCGAATTAAGTGACGATTTTGTAGTTTCTACAAGTACCTACTGCTAGTAGAATTTTTTCAAAGTCAGTTGCACCAATTAACCGGATGTTGAAAAGTTTGACAACATGTATGCCAGCTGATATGGTCAACAAACGTCTTCCTATACTCTTTAGAACACGTTTTAGCTAAGTTCAGGCTATAATAGATTGCTTGGAAATTGAAATCCAATCAAACAAGCTTAAACGTGGTCTAATTATAAAAAAATGCAATACAATAACGTATCTGATATCTTCCACACCAGACAGTATAATTACCTTTATTTCACCTGGCTTTGGTGGTCGTACATCTGATACTGTCATTGTCGAAAAAGGTGGACAATTGGATAAGAACAAAACAACAAAAATACTAACTAACTAATAAAACATTATAAAACAAAACACAAGGTACGGTTTAAATGTACACACGGACTGCATATGCAAGCCGGCGTGTCTCGTGACGTCATACCAATCACATGGCGTTTCCGCATGACGTCAATTTTATCAGATTTGAAAGCCCATTTAATAGTAAAATACATTTTTTTCGGGATTTATTTTTGTTGCAGTGTATTTATATGCAACAAAACTTGTATTCTGGTATGTTTTTAATCAAAAATAAATTTCATGCAAAAGGTTCTGTATCTAGACAATCTTGTACAATGATGGAACTTAATTTAACATGTATGCCAATTATAGAGAAAAAATGACCAATAAAAATGTATTTTAAATATGTTTTGGAGAGTTAAAGTTTGAACCATTGAAATGATAACCTGTTCTAATAATATAACGGACAGGGCAGAAAGACTGATTTGTTCGACAGCCTTTTCTGAAAGAAATAAATATTATTATTATTATTTATAACAAACAGTGAATTTGAGCAATTAATTATCGTTTTGCGTTTACTGACACGGATGTGGTGGTGCTGAGCAACAATTTTCTGCCTCGTTCCCATTTTCTGCCGCTTATATTTCGGCTCATTCGTACATAAATCGTAGTTTGCAGATCAAAAAAAATTGTAAAATATAAATTAGATTCCTTATCGAGGTACCTATCCAGAAATAACAGATTTACCAACATAATGTTTGGCGTCTAAACAAATCGCTTTTCGTGAGTGCGATTATCAGTAAGTAGACCTTGCGAACAAATGATCCGGCATTTTAAAGCTGGTTAAGAAAATTGATGGGAGGAAATATTTAACTTTCATTATCTTCACAAATGCTGCAAATGCGTGCCTTTATCTTAATTGAAGCGATTTCAGGTGCGTTGTGTGCTTAGTGCCGGAGCTTTGATTTCAGATCTTTAAATAGGTACCGTTAATGGCATCATCAATGCGTTCTTTTAGGAGATTATTTAAATAGATTTCCATAATTTATTTAAAAGCATTTTACTAAACCAACCGATTCCATGTATATTATTGGGCAATCTCTTGCACTTTTTCTGTTAAAGTAATTGTCCGCGATGTTTCCCGTTTATTTAAATTCATTTGCAAGTCACACTCTTCGCTTGTACTCCTATACCTTGAAAGCAATACAAATAAATCCTTCGGTTCTTATCTTATTTATGGCTCTGTCAGACCTCTCGAAAAAGTTTTTGTATGGTGTGCATTTTCTTCGCATTTATTCAATGTACTTGGCAATTGAAGGATTGGGTTTCGACCGACGAAAAATACTTTTAATATTCACTGATTCAAAGCTATTGGCTTCTTAGTAGCATTCTTTAGATATTTATGCTGCTATTAACAAGACCTAATGGCTTTTGATGAGCCTGTCCAATTTGCTGTAGAAAGTTCAACGATCATTTATATTCTATAGCCTTGAGAAGCCCACATTGAGGCCAAATGTTTTTGATTGCTTCAAACGGTCTCTTTCGTTGGTCTTTGTTATTTTTTTCTAGTCATTTCATTAATTTTGTTAATTCCTTACTTGACTGCGACTTTGAGGGAGTTTTGCTGTTTAATTCCAGCCAAAGTAGTTTTCAGCTTCACATTTAATTTCGGTTTTGTTTATTTTTTATTGCTGGCTGCCTGGACATTGAACTTTCCAGATCGTTCACGCAAGATTTAATAAGTTTCCCATCATTTTCAATGTGTGCGCTGTCGATAAATACAGTTCCACCCGTCCTCCTGTTTTCAGAACCCAATTTCCATAATTGTGCCATAAATGTAGATATTCAAAAGGGGGTTCAAATGTTCTTGCTGTGTCTCCATTATTCTATTCCACTGTCAGCCAACGCGGAAACTTTGAGAAACTATTTGATTGTTCGATGCTTTCAGCAACATTTTCTTCCGCGTAAATAGCGGGGACAATGAACGAGAGAACACTAGAGGGAAGATCGTTTCGAGAGTTTGTATATGGAGCTTGTTCAGAAAACAAACAGAACTTTGATATTCTAAACGAAGTTTTTTGCCATTGAAAATTGTGTTTTGAAATGAGCCACATTCATTTTAGTTTAGTTTTAAATTATATTACGTTTCAGTATTGTATAGTTCTTGAAAAAGGAGCGAATCTTCCAGTTGAATGCCACTAATTCCACTTACTTTTAGATAAGCATTAGCTGCTATTAGTGCAATTATCAGCTGATAAAAGTGACCCTCTATAACTTTGCTGTCACCATAAATTACATTCTTATCAAATACTCACTACATTGGCTTTCGATTTAGCTGTTGTCTATTGTTTTTATATTTTTCTGTCTGATAACGGCTAATGACTGTTCAGAAAAAAATGTCTGCAACAATTCCCAAAGGAAAATATTCCTCATGCGTAGACTTTTAGCGTAGCTAGATTTTCTGTAAGTTTTGTTGTAAGTTTCAAGTAAAATGCATGAAGAACGATACAGTTATTAGAACTGAAAACGAATTCAAATCCCTTAGAAAATTAGAAAACGAAGTGAGCACGCAGTAGACTACGATAATGAGAAACAGCTTAAAGTGAAGCTAGGAATCCCAACAGAAGAAATAAAAACATGAATGAGTAAAGAATCTGCATTGTAAAATACAATACAAGAATTACGGATCAAACAGTAAAATCGTTCATTCAATAGTAAGAAGCAAAAGCAGAACAGAAGCGCTAAAAAGAATACGGTGAAGACAATGTGGTCCAAATTTTTCATGAAGGTAAATCAGCGAAAGATTGAATGAAGCACAAAGAACACTATATTGAGATTAAATGATACTCTTCATATGACTTTCTTTTCCAAATGCGTAAATATCCCAATCTCCTGATTAAGTCGAAAAGCAATTTCCAGAGCTTTAAAACTGGTGGAAACACAATGCACTCTCATGTTTATTGCATAAAAATTGCCGGCAAGCCTGATTCGTTTGAAAACATCCATCTTCCAGTTGCATTTCTTACATGCCCACCACTAGATCGGGCCGCATTTTATTCCAAGGATCGATTGAGCCGAAATATTTTTGTGTAACTTTTTATGGGAAATGCATGGGCCTGGCGCTATCTACTAGACAGTGTTTCCTGATTTATTTTAGTTTAAATAATGGCTGCTTCATTCAACTGGGCTGCAAAATAGAAAAAGAATGTAAATATGAATTGTAAAGTTAATTTGTTCGGAATGGCGCGATGTGTAATTTTTTTCCTCAAATTATATTCTGCATACAAAATAGTTTGCAGGTGACTCTTATGCAATAAGACCTGCATGAGTAGTGCACGTGCGATTAAACTGTCTCATCCAGCTTGAGTTCATCATCAACTAAAATATGCAAAGAAGTTTTTATTGTCTCCATTGCAAAAGCGAGAAAGGACATGGCAAAGCCGGATTGCCACACAAATGAACATATTTCATTCGGAATTAGGATCATTAGCAAATTAATTATACATGATTTAATAGAGGAAACACACATCTGTGACTAATAATAGGCGAAGCAGATATTAAGGATTAGATCGTATCGAATATTTTTTTATATTGTATTTTGAGTCGGAGGTTTAGTAATAAATTATTCCTGACATTTCACCAGCGCGCCTGGCTTGCATCCTCAGAGGTGTTTCACTCTAAAGTTTTGTTGAGTTGGTTTAATAATTTTTCAACTTTGTTTCTAGTCTATGCGCGTGAAATCGCACAAGTTCGACATTTCAAGAACGGTAAAGGCTCCAGAAACGGTTAAATAGCGTCAAAGTTGCGCTATTTCAAAACAATATTTCTTCTTCTAACAATATTCATGCCATATCTAAAGTTTTGCGTTCTGGAATATATTTTTTTCTTTTTTTTAAACATACTATTTTTTTTCTACAGAAATTTTTGTTCATCCATGATATTGAAAGTGGGTAGGGCAACATTAGTGGAAGCTTGCAAAAGTATTAAGAAAGATAATCGGAGATAAAATAAAAAAATATTATACATGCGGACGACAGAGTGCCGCTTGCTTACAGCAGTATCCAATGGAAAGAGATCAAAAAATCATCTGCTAGTGAGAAAACAAATAAATATTCAGTTTTTCTGTGTTTTAGGAAAATCTTCTAGCTTTTCGTGTTGGCCGCGGTCAAATTATTGTATGTATTGACCTTAAGTTAACTGCGTTCTTTATCTCAATTGTGTTTTGCATAATTCCTATTCCCATTCTTTTCACTTAAAAAAGCGTTTAAACACTATTGACTTTTTAAAAAAGTAACTAAAAATTGATTGTGTCACATTCATAATACAACTTAAAAACTGAAGGTTGACTGTCCGAAACGGCGAAGATTGAAAAGATTTGAAAATATGTTTATTAAAGTTGAGTCTCTAAGTTGTTTGCAAATTGCAACGAAAATCAACTGTGAATTTCTAAACCCACTTGGTTTGAAATCTTTGTTAGGCCCTGAAGACATTCCCTTCATTAACACCATCAAAACCGAGCAGGTTGCGGCATAATGGCAAATTAAAGGCTTCATTTGCAATTCTGAACAAACTATTATCGATATTAATTTTTTTATTGTACTGTGTGTGTATGTGGTGGAAAAATTACTGCCTCTGTGGATTAAAAAATGTGTTTTCACTTTCAGAACATGGGAGACGTAAAATTCGGAATTTTAACTGGTAAGTAAAAGAAATCGAAGATAAAACATCCGATACAATCAGAAATAAATTCAGCAGCTTGACCAACGGGTCAAATACCAGTCTTGGGAGTGCTTTCTGTTTCCGATTCATCAAAATGTCTAAAGATAAAAGAAAGCCTTAAGATCATAAATAAAACATTTAAGCGTTTTTTCCCAATGTAAATAATTAATGTGAATTGTTCAAACATTGCTCTAGTACCCTGTTAAAAAAAGGAAACCTGTACACAACCCTAATCCAACTAATTCAAAAGCAATTCAAACTCTAGAAAATTATCTAACCGAATACGGAAATATTCATTGAAATGGAAATTATATTCCAATCTCGCGTAACTTTGTCGACGCCTTGTTCTTGTTGCGAAAATTGGATTAAGTATTTAGACGAAGGAACAAGATTAATGTCCTCGTGAGCACTTCGGAACTGCCTTCTGCAAAACATCCGCTTTGTTGAGAGATTACAGTTCCCATTACAACTTATCACTCTCAAGATTAGGTTTACAAACCTGTCATGAAACGTTTGTAATGCAATTCTTTAAATTTATAGCGTTCTTTCAGTGTTACAAAAACTAATTTATGTGGATTGTTGAGGAAGAACGGCTTGAATAAACCGGAGGTCTTATTGAAACTCAAGCCCAAGAAACGAGGTTTTTTATACTATTTTTTTGTTATATCTCATTTTCAGCGCCTACATTTGAGGTTTTCCTTTCAAGCTCCATTTTAATTCTTATTTGGCATGTTCAGAAGGTTGAGGTTGAGGATCCTGAATGTGCAAGAATTTAGGTTTAGTTTCAGTTTAACCCTCAGTTAGAACTGAGGGTGATGGAGATTTTCAATTTAAATTTGATGCGGATTTAATATCCATATAAATCAACGTCAAACGGCAAAAACAGAGGATTCCAGTCAGCTCAGTTTGGTTAAGCGTATGTTATAAGTTTGTGTTTTAGAATTTTTTGAGAAACCTAATAAAATTGAATTGGATGAACAATGTTGTTTTATCTTTATCTTTTGTTTTATCTAACAGTACTTTACAGTCTCCTTTGCTTCGTAAATTTACAAAATTTCAAAATGTTGCACAAAGTTACAGTTCAGGATTTTTTTGTTCCTGAAGATATTCTGCATGACGGTAGAATATTCGTGCTGTTTGGAAAATTTCGCCGCCCATTTTCATAAATTATTTTCCGTCGTCAACAAGTTCTTCTCCTGCTTTTAATGCAATTGAATTGAGAGTAAACCGAAGCTGAGTTTCGTCCCCTTATTCATTCTCTTTTCTGTTTTGCATCTGCATCTTCATCTGTCTCTGTTGTTGTTCTCTTTTCTAGTTTTAGTTCCTTTCGTTGCTTTTCTATTAAACTCAAATATTTTGTTTCGGGATTAGTTGACTATTTTTTCAATACATTTTCTCCCATGTCCCAATATCTGTCTTTGGCTAAGATTCGAAAATATGTTTGCTTATTACTTTTTTATGCATTCGGGTTATACAACATGTATTTTATGCCTTTGGTGCCGGTTGTTTCCCTTAAGGTATTTCTTCTCGTTCACTAGCTTTTTCACTGTTCATAGACTAAAATTTTGTTCGCAAATTATTCGTTTATAGTTGGATTATTGTAGTGCATTTCCGCATGCAGTAGTGAATTTGGAAGAACTCATGAATTTAGTGCACCAACTTTTGATATTTAGCCCTCTCGAAAACTTGACTAATCCTTTCTTTCACTTAAGCTCTATATGATTGAGACGAATTCTTAGGTATTTCGCCTCAACAAATTTGAGAAATATTTTTTACAGTTAGCACATCGTGCCATGAAAATCCTGCAAAAGATCTGGCTGGACCGAAGCTGGCAACTGCAACTGCTGAGGCTTTCCCCAGTTCCCGAATCACCTTTAAGATGATTGTGACCGATAGTTTTCCAGAGATCGTGAATGCTTTAAAGCTGGCAACTCAGCCGAACGTTTGTGATGTTCTTTTCACTGTTGGAGGGACTGGATTTGCTCCAAGTGATGTCACTCCCGAGGCCACCAGAGCTGTGATCGAAAAAGAGGCTACTGGATTGAGCTGTGCGCTGATCGCTAAAAGCTTAGGTGAGCAAAAGGTGCGCAGTTTTTTGTTTTTGTGTTAAGGCTCTAGAAGGTTTTAAAAAATAGAGCTTGAAAGCTAAAAATCAACAAAGTCGTTTCTAATTCAGTTTTATCAGTGTTATTTGCGATTATTTATCTCTGATAAGTTTACGGCTTTATATTCAATTTTTTCGTCTAATTTTAGACACGCACTTTTCCAAAACATCGCTAATATTGATTTTGCTCATTGTTTGCTTATGCACAACCTACGATATGGCGGTTTGCAGTGTGAAACGAACACAAATGCACTCTGTAAATACGCTATATAGTTAAATAAACTGCACAATTTCTCACTGTTATCATTCCTAGCACTTTGGCGTCAAACAACATTATTTATAATAGAATTTTCAATGTTTGACTAGTATTTGAAATGCAGGAGTGGTTTATATTTTCGTCGGTGAGTTTCAAAGTGTCTAACTGTAATTAGTTTTGCGATGAAAAATTGCAATTGCACTCTTATTTGACGAATTCGTAGATTGGTGATGTTGAATCAAATGCACAGAATTGTAAATTATGTACGAATGAAGTGTAAATCATGAATGAAAAAATCGCATTTCTCAAGTGTGACATCGGAAGATATTAAAACTGAAAGTGTGTAAACTTTTTACATTTTCTACTTAGAAAGGTCTTTAAATTGATTTTAAAACTTGCAAAATGCGATTTACATTGAGATTTAGCACAGCGTTTAAATCAAATTTTATCTGAACTGTGGTTGAATATGGAAAAACGCCAGTCAAAGGAAACCACTAGAACAATAAATAATATCTCATCAAGAAATTGCAACATTCAATCTAGACACAGTGCAAATAAACATGAATTTTAACAGTGAAGTGTGAAGAAGTGAAATATACCGATGAAAATACAACCAAATAGCATTTTTGCTGTTATACTTGCAGCGATCTGCATCGTACTTGGGGAAAATAATAGGAAAATTTCCTTTCATGCATTTCAGGAAATGAAATCTATCTAGCAAGCAGTTGCCTTTTCAAAGAAACGAAATTTTGATATCAATGTACCATTTCATCGAATGGAATATTAAAAAAATATCTGAAATTCAGTCAGCAAAATGCTGCAAAATAGTGCGAAATATATTCATTCATAAGTATGGCCCGAAACGTAAATAATTAACCAAATTCTTTGGCTCAAAAGATGAAACTGATTCTATACCGGGTGTTTTTTAATAAGGGTTGTATTAATTTTTTAACGAGTGTAATTTCATGGCGCGATTCCTCCACAGGGTCATATTTAACGAGCACTTAACAGGGTGCTAACAAAATTAACTTTACTTTCTGTTTTTTCTAAGTAGATTTTGATATAATATCGGTATTTGGGCGTAACTTGCGTGGATTAATTTAAATCAAAATATCTCGAAAACATACTTTTTGTAGCAACTTTTTTAAACACTTTTTTCTCGTAAAAATTATAAAAGAATTGATTTTCTTGCTAAAAAAATTTATTCTAGCATGCCCAAAAAAGTGAAGACGCTTCAAAAGAGAAAAAGTCATGTAGGTGGCACTCTCTACATGCAAAGCAAAACTAATCGTCCAAATATAGATATTGTGTCAAAAATTATTTAGGCAAAACAAAAATTTTACTCGAGCTTTTAAGTCCCTGTAGTTCAATAAGTAAGGCAAATTTATTAAACAAAAACCCTGTATACAGGGTTTTTGATGTCACCAGATTTGTGTAGCCTAAAGCAGCAATTGATCTTAATACTAAATTTTTGTCTAATTTTCATTATTTCGTTTCTCATTAATCTATTAATTAATAATATTTTCTGGGATTTTTCGGCCATCTTTCTTTTTGGTGATTTCGCGTCGTATTTGCGAAAAGCGTTAAGTACAAATGTTTTAAGACACAAACTAATATGCTAAAAAATTGTAGTTTGTTTACCCAAACTAACCCAGCCACTAAAGTTGAAGTTGGTTAAATATTCCGTTTAGTTCCTTTGCTAATGAAAAGCGTTGATTCGCCTTGCTAAAACACAGGAAATTCCTTATAATTTTCCGGGTGAAAATGGCATGATAAGTTGGTAATTTCAAAAGAAAACGTTCCAAATTCACTTAAGAACACACAGAGAGTTCCGCGCCTTTATATTCACGCAAAATATCCAAAATTGCACTGTCATGGGAGAAAAATGTGCCGCAAAGCGTATGGAAAAGGATAGTTCCTGATGACAAAAAAGTTTCAGTTTCAGTAGGAGAATAGAAAAATTTAATTTTCCGAAATTCGATTTCCGAGTAAAAGTAAACCATTAAGTAATGCCATTACTGAGGCAATTTTTCTTATCGTCATTATTCCAGATAGTGGCAAGCGCACAATTAATCACTGCCGAGCAAAAATTGTTAATTCATCCCCCGACTTGCAGGAAAAGATTTATGGGATTAAAGCGCAATACCTGGTCGGCTTCGCAAGCAAATCACGGTTATAGTCAAGCCGGGAATTATTTTACCACAAATCGGAAAAATTGCGTAGTTTAAAAATGTTTAGACACTTTTATGTTTGTTTGTGTGAGCTCGTTAGGGCCATTATTTCGTTTCCTATGTTACAAAGCAGTATTTTATGGAGGGAATGTGCCATTTATGCTTTGCGGAAAAACACATTCTTAGAAAGGATTTGTTCTGTCTAGGTTTCATCATCAATTTAATGCTGGCATATTTCTAAAAGATGTAAAAGAGGTAGGTGTCAGCATACAATATAGAAGGTATTTCCATTTGGGGACAAACTTTCAGTTTTGGAAAATCTAAGCAATTTTTGCAGACAGTCGTGGAAAGTAATTAGATTTTTTCCATTCTTCGAATTTCTTCGTCATTTTTCGGTGTTAATTTATTTTAAATGTCTGTCGTTTCCTGAGTGTTTGTGCGCGCGATTGACTCATCTGCTGCTGGTTGATTCTTGACTGCAAAAGTTTTGATTGCTCTTATGGATCTCAATAGCTTCTGATAAGTCAGGGGTGCTAGCCCTTGTAATTTTTTGTGAAAAATTGGTAAAAGTAAATAGCGCTAGAGCGAGTCGCAACTTGAAATTGCACGAACATGAAATCAATTTTTTATGCCTGAAGCCTTTATGCTTTAAGCCTACCTTTTTGGGAATATACTCGCACATTTCCATTGGTATTTTCTTATATTTTACGCGTTAACACGATGGTTGGAAGAATGAGGTTAAAATAAATCCTTCCTTAAAGTGCCAACTTTTTTTCTGTGTGGTTTTCCAGTACATTTCTCAATTAGGATCTCAAAAATTACTGCCAACTTCCGATGTGACCACACCTTAATGAAGTCACTCAAATCGATCAAGCCTCTGGTATTTCACATTATAAATGCCCGCACTCTATCAGCTTTATTAATAGCATATTCATAACATTCATTGATTTTCAAACTAACCCTGAAGCGCGCCGGATGCACCGTATTAGCAAAGAGCGTATAGCTTTTTAAGTACCAAGGAAATTTTTAAATCACCAGGAATTTTTCCAAGTAGTCAGATTGGATAATAACGGTTATAATTAGTTTAAAGTAGCCGGCAAACAAAACGCACTTGAGTCTAAAAGCTTTCAAAACTAGATTGTTCACAAATCTGGCAAACAATCAAGCGTTCAGATTGTTTTCTTAGGGTAAATGAGACGTAACTGAAAAAATGACAAGAACTTTTTCCTAACTTAAATGGGGTTTCAAGGAAACATGCAGGTTGGTTGGAAAATCGGATTTAAGCAGGGTTTTTTACGAGATTTAGGTGTTTTACGCCGTGATAAGACTTACTTTTCAGAAGCAACCGCTATTGACTTCAATTTAGAAGTTTAAAGAAGGTGACTCGTATAAAAAATAGGACACATTTTGTAAGACAAAGGCAGTGGAGGCAAACCAATTAACTTATTGCTATTTAATGTTAATTTATTTTTTATAAAATGACGATACAGAAAAGGGTTATTAAATACTTTGGCTTCAATGTAAAAAACGCAAGCACAAGTGTGTTCGGATTAAACACATCCCACTTTTGCTTGATTTTTTATCGATTTCAATGATTCTTTTTTATTAATTAGATATCGGACGTTTTTTCAATATTCACCTGTAGTGATGGCTAACTAAACTGCTCAACAAAATCCACGTTACATTGACAAATTTGGACCAATTTTAGACCTGGATAAATTCTGATTCTTGCGAGCGATTGTATTTGTGTTTGAAGCTTTATTTAGTGCAATAAATTATTTTTCAGTTTGTGAGTCTCTTTCAAAAAAGTTGTGATTTAGGCCAATGAATCAATGCAAAATTGGGGAAAGCTTCACATGCTCTCAGATGGACAAAGAAACGGTTTTTTGCATTTCAACGCCCCAAGTATTAAGATCGACTTCGTACCTCTATAAAAGTTTTTGAGTTTGTCGCCCGTCTCGTTTATTTACCGATTGGTCTGAAAAAAATCAACTTTTTAGCCTTGCAACGATAATTTTTTCTCTTGAAAGCAAAAACTACACCGCAGACATGAGAAAATAATAATTCAATATAGCGAGTTGCATGAATGAACGAAATATTTGAAAAGAAGCTTCACATCGTTGAAAATCACCCAGAACCATAGATTCGAGGGCAGTTTTGATTTGCGATTTAAGCAACTCTGTATATCGAGTTTTTGGCTTAAATTGTCTATGAAATTTCGATATGCGCTCAAAATCGTGAAAATCCGACCAAGAGCATTTAAAATTAATGTAATAATTTAATTTTAATGAGATCCTAGCTATTCGAACTAATTTCTGCCAACTTTTCTGATATTAAATATTTGAGTGGCTTTTGACTACGTCACTAAGTAATCAAATAAGTTATCTACGAAGAAATGAAGGCTTCCCGTATTAATTCACGTCACTTCGTGCTCCACAGGGGCGCATTAATTCCACTCAAACAGTTTTAAATTGAAATAGTTCCAGTGCTCAATTTAAAACTTTATCGTCTACGTTATACGTTATGTGGCACAATTAAAAA